TTACATAAATATCGCACAATTTGAATTTATCACATCGCATCACGATGTATTTTAAATCGCATAATCTGGGGTCTCTACCAGCATGCCATGGTGGCATGCCTGTGACTTCCGTGCCATTCACCCTACAAGGGAGTGTACGTACGTACGTACGTACGTACTATAATAAATAAATAATCAACAATTGTCGCTGGGGCACAGTCAGGTTGGCAATTGACGGCTCAATCTGTTAATGAAAAATTTATAGTGATAAAAGTTACGATAATACTTTTTCCATCGTGAGAATATTAAAAAGTTTCACAGAATTACATCAGAAATACCGTGGGAGATTGATTAGAGATTGTAGTATAAACCAGTATACATCAGAATTTAGCACATTTTTTACTATATACTTCTACAGTGTTGCATCACGCAAGGGTCAAATACTGCGCATAGACGCCTCTATATGTAGGTACGTACGTAAGTACGTGCGTGCGTAAATTTGGAAGTCGTACTGTATTGAATTTCCTAAATTAAGATCTACAATTGAAAAACAGTTTTGACTGGTCAACTGCGGATATTGTTAGTACGATAATGGTTACATTAAATTTTTGACCGTCATACTATTTGACAGATGTAGCAGCGATTGTTGACCGTCATACATTTCATTTATTTTACCCCAATTCCCCAACGAATTCCCAACACTATTACATAGTCATTAAATAGACAGGCGAAAATAAATAAATAAGTTCATCTCGAGGCTTTGTTCGCTTAAATCCGCAACATCGTCTAATTCGCGTTTAAACTTTTTTTTTTTGATATTTTTGTCCTTAAAAAAAAAAAAAAATGTCATCGACTCTAAAAGAATGTTGTATCACTTTCTCCGGTGTCTTCGCTGCTGGTAACCACGCAAAACTCTCTGCCACCGTAAAAGAACATGGTGCAACCGTTTCCTCAAATTTCACCAAAAAAATTACCCATCTGATAGTCACAGACGAAGACTATCGAAAGAATAGTTCAAAAGTTTTGGCTGCAAAGAATAAAAATGATGTATCCATTGTAACTTGGGATTGGGTTCAAGACTCTATCAACGAAAAATGCAAAAAAAATGAATTGGATTATGTCCCTTCTGAAGTTGCCGGCGATGAAATAGATATGAATGACGCGAACATCAATCCTGGGAAACACAAAATTGATAATACTCCTGAATCTGAAGATGTTACTCCTTCACGTAAAAAAAGACGTGCTGCCAAAAGTTCAACTACTTGTGATTCAGTTAATTTAGTTAGTTCAGTTAATTCAGTTACAACTATCACCGTTAATGACCAAGTAGGTGAAGTTACTCAAGTCGTTGAAGACAAAAAAATGGTCAAGATCATTAGGAAAGGCAAAGCATCTGTCGATGAATTATTTCAAATGAAGGATTCGTATCATGTATTCTCTGATAGTCAAGCTACTTGGGATTGTCTTCTCAATCAAACGAATGCAGGCGCTAACAATAATAAATTTTTTATTATTCAACTCTTGGAATCTGATTCTGGTGGCAGCTACTATGTTTATTCCAGATGGGGTAGAGTTGGATATGATGGTCAACATGCCATGTTAGGCCCATGGACATCTTTAGATATGGCTAAATACGAGTTCGAAAAGAAATTTCGTGATAAAACTAAAAATAGGTGGATGGATGTTTGCCAAGATCAATCAAATTTTAAAGCTGTGAAAGGAAAATACACCTTATTAGAACGTGACTATGGAGATGACGCGGTTGATGCCTCAACTAAACATAATGCAGATGTGCCACCTCCTCCCATCCCTGAATCAAAACTTCATCCCAAGGTCCAGGGCATAATTCGAATGATTTTTGATGTTAACTCATGGAATGATACCATGGTTGAGTTAAATTATGACGCGTCTAAATTACCATTGGGTAAACTTTCCAAAAGTACTATTACTCGAGGTTATGAAATTCTTAAAATTATTGAGGCTGTATTGACTAACGCAGAGGATGGTGACCTTGTTGAGCTTTCAAACGACTTTTATACCGTTATTCCTCATAATTTTGGTTTTAATAAACCACCAATCATCAATAATATTCCGATTCTTAAAACAAAAATGGCAATGGTAGAAGCTTTAGGTGAAATTGAAATCGCTAGTTCATTAATTAAGAATGCGGATATATCCAAGAATCCATTAGACGCAAACTATGATTTACTTGGTTTAGAAAGAATGGTACCACTTGATCATGATTCTGAAGAGTTCAAACTCATACTTAAATATTTAAAGAACACGCAAGGTGTTATGCATCAAACTAAATTAGAAATTCTTGACGTGTTTGATATTGAACGCCAAGGTGAAATGGAGCGATACAAGACGTACTCAAAACTTCATAATAGGATGTTATTATGGCATGGTTCTAGACGTACAAATTTTGTGGGCATTCTAAGTCAGGGGCTGAGAATTGCACCGCCGCACGTTCCTGTCAGTGGATACATGTTTGGAAAGGGTGTTTATTTTGCTGATTGTGTGTCTAAATCTGCGAATTATTGTCACGCGCACTATGGTGATAAGATTGGATTTATGTTGTTATGTGAAGTTGCATGTGGTGATATGTTGGAGCTTGTAAGTAGTGATTATGATGCTGGTGAAAAGGTTAAAAAGCAAGGTAAACATTGTACTAAAGGTCTGGGCCAAATTGTTCCTGATCCAAAAAAAGCTGTTTATTTAGAAAACGGAACTATGGTTCCCTGTGGAAAAGGAATGTCTGCAGATACTAGCAAATTTTTGTACTATAACGAGTATATTGTATATGACGTAAACCAGATTGTCCAAAAATATTTGCTTAAGGTCAAATTTGGCTAAGGTTTTTTTATCAGACACTGCGCCGTATGAAACTCTTATTTTCAGTATTGGTATTTGGACTAATTGAAGATAATATGGCTAATATACGGATTTAATGATACGTAGTATTTTGACTGTCAAAAAATATGGGCATAGTTCAAATACCAACACTACTTATTTTTTGTACACGGCACAGTAATTGGTTTAACAAAGATGGTTCAAAAACACGCAATATAAATTAGTAAATTATGTTTTTGATATCCATAAATATAGTGTATATTCTATGTAATATGCAAAACATAAGTATTGAGTTATAGTAAAAATTATAATAAATGTATAAATTTTACAGTCTAAACCACCCGTGAATATTTCGGCGATGCATCTCGGACAAATAACTCCATGCTTTGTAATGTCTCAATAGAAACAATTGTTACAATAAGCAAGATTGCATATAAGTGCTGCCAAGGGAAAGGGGAACCTTGGTATTTTAAGTATATTATTGATTATTTATTTGATTTACCTCTTCTTATCGATGACGCATCGGGCTTTAATTAATTGATCACGACATCCAATACAGCAATACAATACATACACGATTTATATAATTGAAAGCCCGATATGCGTTAATTAGCGTTAGGAGGGCTAAATCAGATAATCCGTAAAAACCTTAACTTGGTTACAATACCCTATTTACCTTAAGATTAGTGATTGGACCCGGGTTGGGTTAACCCGGTATACCGCGGGTGGATAGATTAGCTGAGAAACAAAAATTCAGCAGATCGGCCCGAAT